ATTCAAATAATACCTAATCGTAGGATTATAAAAATGTTAAACAAACCGTGTAAAATAAATGGCGGAACCACAAAAATTCACTACTCGCTATTGAAAAAACTAGCAATAGAATGGAAGATTCACGTTAACAACACACAATATTTACACTTGTAATGTTAAATTATTTGGGACTATAAATTAGGACGAATAAATTAGACAAATTATGGTTTCATTTCTTTTCTTTAAATAGAAAATTAAGAATAAATTTTACCTTTGGTAGAAGAACAAAGACGGATGTACCACACCACCAGAAGAAAGGTGAAAATTCAGTCTCATTTACCGGTACCACGAGGTTGGCAGGAAAATGTCGAGGAAATCAAGATGAAGAAAAGAAACTGGTCTCAGCGGTCCAGAATTTGTCGGCCCCAGAACACGTCGGGACATTTTAAAAGCCGGAGCCGCGCCTTAGCGGCTTAACGAAATTTTTTTAGCTCGACATTAGGAAAAATGTATTTTACACTTTAAATAAAATATATTTTAAAAATCGTTCTTTACTAATTGAAATCTAGAACCCGAATCCTCTCCGTTTCAATTCAATCGGTCGTCCTTAAACCAGGACAAGTTTTTATCGTTAAAAGTAGAAAACGTATAATAAACATTTACGGCGAAAATTATTAACATTTCTTCTGGTGGTGCGTATACTACAAACAAAAAGAAAATATAACGCTACACACTAATAATACACAAAACTTCAACACACTCGAAAACTAACGTTAGTTAGAAAAATATCTATTCGGTTTTGCACTACAGGAGAAATCACGTAGGAGGTCGAGATAGATATGAATCGATCCCAATCGATAAATGGCGGCCATCGTTTCAAATGCGGCATGTTGCGCGGGTTGCTTGCGCTGTTTCTCAAATAAACGATCGCCGCGCCATCTCTACTCATAAGCTCGAACTAAATTTAACGTCGAAACTTTCTCATAAGGCTGTCCTGGTGCCGACCAAACAAAACGTTGCGGACGTTGCGACCAGAGCTTCGACCATACCCAGGTTAAGTTCAACGGCGTGGTTTATGGGGCCGGAGTTCCTGCGAGCTCAAGAGCTGCCAGAAGAGAAACCAGCCGAAACCGACCTCGACGAAAACAGCCTGGAGCTGAAGAAACAGGTGGTAGCGCTATCCAAGGTGATTCAAACTCTGCCTCTACCCCCAATCGACTGCTACTCAAATTGGTACACGCTCGTTAAGAAGACGGCTTCATAGATCGCGTCTTTCCGAGCGATTATGACGAAGACCCCACGAGAAATCAAGATTGTCGATTTAGAACGCGCCGAAGCGTTGTGGTGCAAGCAGGTTCAAAAGGATTGCTAAAGAAGAGCTGAATCGACTTCAACAGCAGAACCACATCCCCAGGTCGAGCCGACTCTCCAAACTTTTACCTATTTTGGACGGCAGAGGACTAGTTGTGGTCAAAGGTCGGATCGAAAAGGCTCGAGAGGTGACAACTTCTATGAAGAATCCGATAATATTGGATCCGCAACACCCATACACCAGGTTGCTGATTAGATTACATCACGTGAAGATAGCCCAAGGACAGGAAACCCTCATCAACAACCTGAGGCAAAAATATTGGATTGTAGGTTGCCGAACAGCCGTAAGAAGTTGAATCAGTAAGTGCATAGAATGCAGAGTCCGTCGAGCACAGCCGGTCCCACCTATCATGGGAGAATTGACTATCATTTAAACACCTGCTTGACAATCCGAGCTGTTTATATTGACTTGCTACCGTCGCTTACGACGAGTGATTTGATCGATAGCCTCATAAGATTCAATAGTATCTACGGACCACCGAAGCACTTATACAGTGACAACGGGACTAATCTACATGGTGCGGACAATGAAATCCGCCAATGCATTGCCAAATGGAACCAGTCTCACCTATCGAAAGCCCTACTACAGCGGGGTTCAGAATGGCACTTTACCGCACCTGCTTCGCCACATATGAACGGATGTGCTGAAAGGATGATCGGGTTGGCAAAGAAGATCCTGCACAGAATACTCAACCAGAGATATCCAAAGGAGTACACATTACGAACAGCCCTTTGTGAAGTAGCCGGGATCCTCAACAGCCGGCCCCTAACCGTAGTCTCGCCAGACCCAGAAGATCAGGAGTGCCTAACGCCTAATCACCTTCTGAAATTGAAATGTCTGCCCAATCTGTATATTCCGGGAAATTACCTACCAGAGGGAGACCGTCTCCGAAAACAATGGAGGTTTGCTCAGAAATTGGCCGAGAATTTCTGGAGAAGGTGGCGAGAAGAGTACCTACCTATGTTAGCGAAGCGCCAGAAGTGGCATCAGAATCAGCAGCCAGTACGGGAGGGAGATATCGTCCTCCTTCTAGACGACCAGGCGGAAAGGAACGCGTGGAATAAAGGAGTAATATTGAAGACTTTTCCAGGAAAAGATGGCCAAGTGAGGGTAGTCACGGTCCGAGTCCCAACCATCGACGAAAAAGGGGGCGTTAAATAAAATGAATAGCGACGTCACGTTATGAAGTTTTGTCCGATTGGCCTCAACGTCGGAGAGGGACGACAGAAAGAAGAAAAGACTACGGAATAACTTCGTCTTCTGGGAGGGAGAAATGTTACGGAACGACCACGGTTTGTAGAATAATACGGTTACCTCACTTTGCTGGCAAAAGTGGGGGGGAATACGTCACCAGTATGCTAGAGTTTACTTGAGCCTACTAATCGTTACGAGTTTTCGTAGTTTTCTTCGTAGTTTTCTTTTTTTGTTGATGTTAATTGTGGTTTCTATTGAAGTTTTTTGAGTTTTCGTGTTTTCTTTTTATTGTGTTTAACTTCTTAGTAGTATATCAGACTATTTACAGACTATTTTCAATAATTAATTTGTTCTAAACATTATATATTTCTTTCATCGCGGAGAGTCAAGTAAATACAGGGTGTTTCATTGGGAAAGAGCAATATTTTAACCCTGTATAGAGGTCACCCAGGGGATTACAAAAAACCCATGTACTATGGATCTTCCGCCCTTTATAACCGAGTTATAACCGGGTGTTTTTTGAATTTGGCCCATTTCTTTCGACACCTATAACTTTTGAATCACTCAGTATATTTTTTTGATATTTGGCATAGATATTCTATACCTTTAGTACAATTCATTGCCACTTCATTAAAAAATTTAATAGGTATACAAATAAACCATTTATCATTTAATTCAAAAAATACCCGTCTCCTTTTAAATTTTAATATATTTATGGAAAATATACTTTTATTAGTTATTATTCCTGTCCATTGTCTCAATTTTTATAATATTTTACCCTGTAAATATTATTAAAAACATTAATTTCATTACACTTGAGATGCTCGGAATTTGCCACTCGAATTCTTGTGACGTCACAAGATACCGTGCGTGATTGGCTAAAAAGTTACGAGACAACCGTATTATTCTACAAACCGTGCGGAACGACAACACCGAATGGACCTTTAGGGTTCAAAGGGTATATAAGGGGTGGTGAGTTTTTGTTTTAGTTCAGTTGGTTTTAATTTTAAATACGTTTGACAAATGTTTTTGTCAGAAAAATATAAATTTCGTCATCTTCGTCAAGCCTCTCATTTTTAATCTCTCGAGTCCGAATATGTGCGAAGATAATTTTCAAAAGAAAGAATCAAGACGCTAACGCTAGCTGACGCTAGATTAGTTAGAATAAAACAAAAGTAAACCTTAAAATATATTTATTTTACCAATTTATGTACAATTATAAATACTATTTAAACCTAACCGGTTCAGAGCGGGTCCTTAAGGAACTCCGTCGGAACGGGCAGACCAACCCAACACCTGTTAGTAATTTATTTCCTTATATATTAACCTGGTTGATATTCTCCGGTTTGAATTTCCCATAGCCGTATTACACGGGATTGGCCAGAGGTGCCGCCGTACTAGGATGCGAGGATCCCTTATGTTCTGGTTATGGCACATAACATCTTTTTATTCGTATTATACAGAGTGTCCGGTACACTGGCCAGAGGTGTCCCATTTGGGTCACCACATAACATCTTTTTATATTTAAGTGTCTGTATCACTCGAGAGAAGTTGGGATATTAGTTAGTAACGCCCATGTGAACATCCAACTCGGTAGTATATCAACATGTCTATGAAGCTAGCGTGGCAAATTCGTTGGGCACAAAAATTAATTAGTCCATATTTTTTTGCTAATTTTTTTGCTATTTTTTTGCCAAAGAATTAATTTTTTTGCTGCAGCCGTTCTCGAGAAAAACCGGCCACGCTAACTTCAGACTGAAGCTAGCGTATCATATATATCGTATCTCTAAAATCCAATAAAATATTCAAATAATTTTAATGCCGTATTTTTTTGCTAATTTTTTGCTATTCTTTCACGAAAGAATATTTTTTTCCTACCCTTATTTTAGACGTTATCGAAAAATATTATTTAGAAATATTCTTTAAAATTACAGAAAAGCTAAATATTAAATTTTTGTTTATTTGAAGAAATAAAACAAAATAGTTTATAAATCAAATTTAATAAGAAAAACAACACACAAAAAAAATCTAAATGGAATTAACAGCAAGTTGACATAAACCAACTCGTTTGATTTTTGTCATAACTAATATCATACTTGATTATCGTTAAAATTGAATTGCCTTAGCTTCAGCCAATATACTAAAATTTAATAATATTTTTCGATAACGTCTAAAATAAGGGTAGTTTACTCATTAAAATAATTAGGATATTTCATTGGGTTTGGGAGATACGAGATTAGCCACGCTAGCTTCAGTCTGAAGTTAGCGTGGCCGGTTTTTCTCGAAAACGGCTGTAGCAAAAAAATTAATTCTTTGGCAAAAAATAGCAAAAAATTAGCAAAAAAATATGGACTAATTAATTTTTGTGCCCAACGACTTTGCCATGCTAGCTTCATAGACGTTATATCAACCATAATTTGCGGGTCAAGTTAACTATACTTGTAAACCCGACCAAAGAAGCCAAATGTTGAATTATGATGGTATATGTCATTCGATAGGCTATGGCTCGGACCGTCCACTCAGACACGGTTCCGCAACTACGTCGCCCTTTCCCAGTTTCGGCTCGACTAACCCGGTGATAAACAGAGCACAGGCAAGCTAATGTCATCGGACGTTTCGGACTCTGATTCGTTCATGATTTCAAATAAACGGGGTGTGCGGTAATTGAGGTTAATTCGGTGTGTATGGGTATTAGGCTTCTCGGGGCGTCAGGTACTACTCGGGGCGTCGGGGCGTCGCGGGTCGGCAGCGTCTTTGAATCTTCTGGTAGGCAACGGAGGGTAGCGTCGGAGTTGGCGTCGTCTTGTTGTTGGCAGGAACTTGGTTCGAAAACTAAACCATGGTCGTCTCGGGATCACCCTTTTTATGCACAAAAAATCCGTGACGTATCGCGGATTTTACCCTGGTTCTCACGGCCATGTGGTAACTTGCTATCAACACTTGTACTTATCTAGTGTGATATGCGCCACATTTGGGATCTCTTACACAAAATATTATCTATTCGTTAATGTGTTTTCGGAATTGATAATTTTACTGGGTACCCGGGTCTGCTAGGTTACAATACCTAAGAATGAAAAAAAAAATAGTTCATTTTTTTTCTTTAGAGCGTTTTAAGCAATTTATTGTTGCTGCAATATATCGTACCGTGTGAAAACGTTCTTATGGTGTACTGAATTAAAAATAAAATTTCTATACAGTGTTAGAAAATTTTTCGCGTATAATAGGGAAATCAATGTTAAATTCTTAGCCGGCTGAAATCCAGTCTACCAGTATACATTTCAATAGAACGTCGCGATGAATTCTAATAAATTTAATTGTTCTACTGGATCGCACCCCGCGATTTGTAGAGGTACAAAGTTATTTGTGTTAGGTATGAGGTACAAAATTATTTAGAAACTACATTTAATAGGTTTTTTGGGGATATTTCAAAAAATGTGTGTATCGGAAGGTACAGTTTTGAAACAGCAACAAATTTTGTTGAAATAAGGGAAAAAATAATTCAATTTTCAGCTAGAATTATACCTCAGCTCAGTAATATGGGATGACATCTGTATGGCAGGTTTGGCTATAGTTTAGCAGAAAGCGGTAGACTATTTTTTAGAGTTCTTTTATTTTCTGTTTTAAAATAATCTAAGTTTATTTTTGAAGTTTCCTTTTTATTATTTTCTTAGAATTTATAACTTTCTTTTTCAAGCCATTGTGGCAAAAAGACATATCTACATAATTCTATTTTAATAATAGTGATATTTTTTCAATAAATTATCGTTTAAAAATTCTCATTTCTTTTTAATCGACTCGACGTTCACCCATCCGAACCCGTTTTGATACTGTCGAAGTGTCGAAACCGTCGAAATTATTTGATTTTTAATCTAACCAAGCCAAAGCGCGGTGTGAAGTCCAGTAGAACAATTAAATTTATTAGAATTTATCGCGACGTTCTATTGAAATGTACTACTACTACTACTACTACTACTTCAGGCGAACCTTGGCCGAGACAGCTCAAGCCAAGGCTCAGGCACTGAGGCCTCTAGCGGGCCCATTGTGCCATTCCTGCTGCTTATGCATCCATGAAGCCGAGTCCCTCTATGAAGGCCTCAGTCCTTTTCAATGGATGCCTATTTGTGTCTCCAGGGGCCATAACAGGGACCCCAAAGGTTCGCCTGCGTAGCACAGCCCACTTCTGACACTCCAGAAGAACATGGTCCGATGTTTCATCAGCCATGCCACAGCCCCTGCAAAGGGGACTTTCCTCTAAACCTAGGTTATAGAGGTGTTTTCTCAGACAACAGTGCCCCGTTAGGAGTCCTGCTATCTTTTTTAACCTACTCCTTGATAGTTCCACAGCTGCCCTAGCATGTCCATCAGTCCAGCCCCTAAGAAGGAGCTTAGATTGCCTAAGACCATGCAGAGCACTCCAATAAGCGAGATGCTGATTTCTCAGCCAAACTCCCGCCTCTTTACGAATCACTTGTTTTGTAAGGCCCAAGGTCGGGCCCGGGCCACTGAAAGGAGTTGCCGTCCCCTCCACAGCCAGCGCATCCGCCCTCTCGTTGCCCTCAAAACCAGAGTGGGCCGGAATCCATTCTAGCCGCACTACATTCCGCCTCGCTAAGTCAGCGAGCCGTCCCCGACATTCAGCAGCGAGCTCAGAGTTGATGGTATACCCACTCAGGGCCCTGATTGCCGCCTGGCTGTCGGTGTATATGGTTATGTGACGGTTCACATAACCTCTGTCTAGGTTCATCTGCGCACATTCCAAGATAGCGTATACCTCAGCCTGATATGCAGATACCCCCTTGCCCAAGGGGACACAAACTTGTGTCTTTGGGTTCCTAGAGTAAATTCCCGCCCCAGCCCCATTACTGGAGCATGAGCCATCTGTGTACCAGACGATCCCATGAGGCTGTGAATTTCCCTCTCTTTCCCAGAATTCTCTATTCCGGATCTTCACCATATAGGGAGTTGAAAAGGAGTACCTGCGCAGGCAAACGTCTGCCGCTCGAGCCAGGACTGGGACATCTCCCAGGAGCCTAAGCTTCCTGACGTGCCTGCACCCTTCCTCACTTCGCACGTATCCCAAACTTTTCAAACGCAGGAGTGCCCTCCCAGCCTCGGCCTCAATCACATAGTGAAGTGGCCGAAGTCCAAGAATCACCTCCATCGCAGCAGTTGGTGTAGTCTTCATGCAGCCAGTTGCTCCCAAACTGACCACCCTTTGAAGGCGTGTCAGTTGCGTTCTAGCCGTGGCCAGGGTTACCCTCGGCCACCAGACCAGAGCCGCGTATGTGAGCATAGGCAGCATGATCACTTTATAGAACCACATGATCGTCTTTGGGGTTAATCCCCACTTCAGACCGATGGCTCTCCTACAGGCCCAGTACGTGTTAGTCACCTTTTCTAGGCGACTATCAAGATGGGCCTTCCATGTCAGTGACTTATCCAGGATCACCCCTAGATATTTCACCTGTTCGACCACTGGAAGTGGTATTCCGCCAAGGTGCAGACCCTCCGGTCTTATACCTCTCCTTTTGGTGAAGGCAACTACCTCAGCCTTGGCAGGATTCACTGCAAGTCCGTGCTCGTTGCACCACCCCTGTACCCTATTCAGGGCCCTTTGCATTAGGTCCCTGAGGACGGTGATATGCCTTCCAACAACAAGGACAACGATATCATCGGCATACCCAATTGCTAGAAAGCCCTCACCGTTTAATAGGGTTATGAGTTCGTCGATTACTAGGTTCCACAACGTGGGCGAGAGAACGCCCCCTTGCGGACAGCCCCTGTCGACGACCATTTTAGCCACATGATCTTTCCATGTTGCCTCTACTGTGCGATTGCGTAACATGGCCCCAAGCCATTGAATTAACATTGGCTCTATTCCATGATTTACCGCAGCTCTACACATTGATTCTACAGGTGTGCTGTCAAAAGCTCCCTGTATGTCCAGGAATGCACCCAGTGCGATCATGCCATTTTCCAGCGCCTTCCCCACCTGTGTTACCAGCTGGTGTAAGGCACTTTCCGTTGACTTCCCACACCGGAACGCATGCTGGTTGTTGTGCAAAGGATACCTGAGCCCAACCTTCTCCCTCATATACCGATCAACCAACCTCTCCAGTGTTTTTAGCACAAAAGATGTTAGGCTGATGGGTCTGAAGGACTTAGCCACGGTGTAGGTAGTACGACCTGGCTTTGGTATGAAGACAACTCGCACTTGTCTCCACTCTTCAGGAACATATCTGCTTGCCAAGCAGGCCCGAAAGATATGCACTAAGATTGGACCAATAGCCTCCCAGCCCTGCTGAAGTAGAGCCGGGAAGATTTGGTCCTTCCCCGGAGATTTGTAGGGCCTAAACGTACGTATAGCCCAGGTACTCCGTTCGTAAGTAACTATTTCTTTTGCCAGAAGATAGTCCTCTTTACATGGTCGTCGTGTTGCCACGTGTCCCATGTCAAGACCCTCCTTCCCGACTGCTTTGCAGCCCGGGAAGTGAGTCTCTAATAGGTGCTGCAAGGTGTCACCCGGGGTTTCCGTGAAAACACCCGGTACGACTTCCAGGCAGCCAAGAGCACTGTCAGGAGACTTCGCCAAGATACGACGCAGCCTTGACATCTGAGGTACCGAAACGATATCCTCGCAGAAGGCCCGCCAAGCATCTCTCCGAGCCAGCCTAACAGCACTCTTATACTCATTTCGTTTCTGGCGGTATTGTTCCCAGTCCAGATCCGACTCTGTCTTCCTAGCCCTATTAAATAGACGCCGGGTTTGTTTTCGCAACGAGTCCAGAGAGTTGTTCCACCACTTGTGTCCCTTACCCTCTTTCCTCGTTTTTTCCACGCAATTATCTTCATACGATGAGACAATAATCGAGCCCAGCTCCGCTACGGCCCAATCAATCTCATCGTTATTTCTGAGGCTCCTAGGGAACCGCTGGAGCCTCCCCTCGAGATCCAGTTTATACCGTTCCCAATTGGTGGCCCTAGGGTTCCTATACTTCACTGCCTGTTTTTCAACAGCAGCATTATATCTGAAACAGATGTAACTGTGATCCGATAAGGACGGATCATCATTAACACGCCAGTCTTTTACCATACTCACTATGGCACTGGACGCAAGCGTCACGTCTAGGACTTCAGTCCGAATCCTATTACGGAAAGTCGGCTTCGTCCCTCGGTTAAGTAGCTGAAGATCGGTGGTGCCCAGGTAGTCAAGCAAGGCCTCTCCTCTGCTGTTAACGCCTGTGCTGCCCCACATAGTGTGGTGCGCATTGGCATCACAGCCAATAAGGAGAGGCAACTTCCTAGCCGTGCAGTAGTCCACCGTCTTGCGGAGCTCCTCAGTAGGCGGTAATCCTGGTGAATCGTAGGGCAAGTAAGCAGAGCATACGACCAAGGTACGTCTCGTGCTATTCTCATCCGGTAAATCCACCTTCACCGCAACAAGATCCCTGAAACAGAGTTCCCTTATCAGTGTTGTATTTACACTATTATGTGTAGAAATACACACTCTCGGATTAGGTTCACCCAC